GTCGATCAGCACGCCTTGTGGAAGGAAAAAAGAAAATACGATCTGATACACTCGCGAGAGATCGGATACATGAACAATTGGCCAGAGTTTCGTGGAAATGTGCAATATTGCCTGGCAGCTGCAGGTGAGTTAAGGATAGAAATAGTCGGCATGATTCCTTTGAGCGACGATGGCAGCCTGCACAAAGATTCTGCGCTACTGAAATTGTCGCGGATGTTGTGGGAACCTCCAAGGACGTCAAAAGAGCCAATCGGCGATCCTTTCACCATCACGCAGGACCTCGAAAAGATCGGGATGATCGTGTCGACCGTTCACCGGAAGCTTCCCATCAATAAGTATTCCGACGATGAAAAAGAGAAGATCATTGGAGACTGGTTCGCCATAACCATGAACGAGTTCATAAAAGCGAGGGTGGCTCTCGCCGGAGAAAGACAGGCATTGGACGACGAGCTCATCAAGAAAGCAAGGAAAGAAACCGAGGACACCACCATCCATGCTTATTGCAACTAGTAAGTTTCTCTTATCCTTCGCCGAAGGGCTTTCAAGACTGATAGTTTTCAAGCTATTCCATCTCAGCAAAACGGATGCCTCGGCCGTGGGAGTTGTAGGATTGTGAATCTATGAGAGAATGAGTTGGTGGCCGGCGCCAGTACCCCTAGGATCTCGGGAGAGGCTGCCAAAAGGCCGGCAGGTACATGGTTCAAGAAAACCCCCTAATTATTCTCACATCTTAATACTGAACAACCGCATCCGCCACATATGGTGAGCTTTCATATGTTTTTGATTATTGCGCGCCTATTCGAGCACAGTAACGAGAACTGCAAAAATCAGATGCTTAAGCGTCAATGTCAGCTGTGTAGCAACAATCCTTCGATTTATGGGCTACGAAGGCGGGCAGGGACTCCACTGCTTATGCTAATGCCCCAGTGACTATTGAAATAGTATTCTATATGTCGGTGGGATGCCTTGGCTCTTCTGCGGCGAGCTACGCCTTACTTTCCTGTGCCAAGACGTTTGCGAACCACCTGGACGCTCCAGTTGGGGGCCATTTCGGTCAAGATCGAATGTCCGTCTAGAATAGTGGCAATCCAGCTTCCACTCTTGACCAGGAAAGCTGATGACAATACTCTGAATGCGTTAGGAGCTCTTTGACGGACTGTTTTGACTCCGTCGTCACCGTCCCAAGGACCCCTGAAAGCAGCTTTTGGTTCATGTTAGTTAGGGGCCTAGAATTAGCAGTGGGCGAGCCGAGACCCGCCACCGGTAATTGGCTGTCGAGGAGTGAAATGAGCGATGAGGCCGTGCACCACTGTCAGTGCCTTATAAGACTGTTCAGTTCTCGACAGGAGCTGTACAGCCGGGAATCATATTCTCAGTGAGTCTCAGCAAAATACTGGACATAGACGACATCATGGGAGACAACCGCAACGATGACGAGGGCTACTGCTCAGACAACCGCGATGCCACCACGCAAGAATTCTCAGAAAGACGCGACGACGACGACGACAACGCACTTAACATGGAAATGCTAAAGCGTCGATTGCAACATTTTGAACTGTCGGACCCGGACATCACACATTTAACAGTTATTATCGGCGATCGCTTTTCCAGACTGATGGCCGGATACTTCGAAAAATGCCAGGACGACTCGGGGGAGTTCGAATTCACGGAGTATATGTATGCCACCCAGTTCTTGTCACTTTGCCTGCTGACAATGACAGGGACGAGAACGACGTCGGTAACGGAGACCATTTCGATTATGTACTTTTTTGTGCTGTCGGAACTTCCATTACGCGGCGTCTTTTGGACAAATTATACAGGTACCACCTACGATGCGAGCACGAGTGAGACACACGCTAAACCTCAGGGCTGTTAGTCTTCTCCAACCCGGCGCAACGGTCGATATTCAGGTCGCCGTACCGGACCTGAAACGCGCGCCATCATCTGCCAGTCGGACGAGGAAAACGTTGAGTAGGATGGAGCAAGACGAGATCCGTAGAGTCGAACGGATGATGCAGGAAATCGGGATTGAAAACACACGTCACATCGATGCTTTCTATCCGGATGAACCGGGACTAGCGCGTGAGATTGCGCAGGGTAAGATACATGGCTGGAATGGCCTGGCTGGCGAGGAGACACAAAGCAGCTCTGACACTCTCGCACACTTCCTTGCCTGGAACGGCGTTGGCAAGGCGTTACTGTACGTCCAGTCTCGTTGGCTGATGACTAGAAACTGACTGTCACAGGCACACTATCCGGGGGACGACGCCAAATCCGAATAACAAAAGGTCTCGGGGCGAGCTTGAAGAAGACAGCTGCGTAAGGAAACGAGTCTGTCCGCTATGGCACTGGAATCCCAGGGGGGCTGAAGAGACATGATGCCGTCGGCAGGACGCAATTGGGTTCTCTGTGGGTGGGATGATCTGTGCTCGTAGACATGAACATTAATTATTCTCAAACGCTTTTTGGCCACCTCGACAGACAATCTACGGCCGGCTGTCACTTGGCATAGACTGGGAGAGTCGGAAGAGAGAAGTAAACAGAAAGAAGAAAATTGTCGCCTTCTCCAGCTTATCACCTTGCGACGATCCGATGGAATCGACCGAAGATCAATTTAGAGGCCATGGTGACAAGACGACAACAGCTTTTGCGGGCGCAACGGGCCAGCATCGACGCACGGGTGTGGGCATTTTGAGCCTAGCCCAAATTGGGGCTCTCATGTACGCTTGGCACAGCGGCCGCCCTCAGCTGGGGCGAGTGACTTTGGCCGAGGGGCTCGAGCTTTTCTGCAGGGCAACAACTGTAGCTTGTGTGGGGATCCCTGACCGGTCAGATGAAGTGGGTGGGGGAGTGCACCGGCCAGCAAGTGCTACGGTGGATGGGTGTGAAAGCATAACGCACAGCATGGTGTGCGTCTAGGCGACCTCCAGAGGGCTTGGGATGGAGGGGTGCGACAGACTTGCCCCGTGCTCGCGGCCCTCCGGCACACAACGTGGGGAGCTCATCTCACGTTTTAGCGTCCCACACGCGGCCCGCTTTTGGCATGCAGGTGGAACCCCACGCCCGGCCAATCGATGGAGCCTCTTTCGACTTCATGTCTTGCGCAGCGACGGCCAGCGCAGCTTCCGCGAGCTTCGCATTCGCCGACCGCCATGGGTGTTCTCATGCCAGTGACTGAGCCAATCGCGGACATGCCGTCCCCTTTGCTGCCCGGCGCAGGCAGCCCGTTGGGCACTCGACGGCTAGCTGCGGAATGCGGCCATCCACTGTTGGAGTATCTTGGAGGGAGCGACACGTCAAAGATACTTTCTTATTCGTGGGCGAGAAATATCCTGTTGAGGACGTCTCGAGTCAGGTAAGCAAGACTTCAGAGCGCAAGCTGAGTGATAAAGAGAGCGAGTCCTGACAGAAGGAGTGCCGGCTTCCGCAAGTTCACCACGATCCCATTTCATACCCTCCAAGCCAATCACACCACACGCGAGCGACCGCAGCATCGAAAAGAATCATGGACCGCTACCCCTGCGTCAATAGATACAAGCATGGCGTGGACTGCCCCGGCTGGGTCAACGTCCATGGCGCGCGTTGCGAAGATTGCGTCGTCGTATGTGACAGGCTTGACCGAACGCGAACCTTGCTGACCCTGGACAGTACAACCGCTAGGGTGGAAATCAGGGGTTTGAAGTTGATCGACGAGAAGAAGGAAGGGGAACGGGCACATGTATCTGCAGCACTCTGCTCTCCAGAATTGACCTTGTTCATCCCGAATGTGCAATACTGTGAATGTGACCTGGCCGATGAACGCCAACGTGACTGGCCTGCTTCGCCCCAACCCAAGGTGATGACTGCAGCTGCGGCGGTGAGCGCATACGACTGCTATCTGCCTACCGTGGTGCCTCGCAGCTTGATGTTGAATGGCGAACCGTCGTGGACGCCTTGCGAGTCGAAGAGACACAAAAGCACGCCGTGCCCAGGTGTTGCGTCTGGCTTGACACTACCTTCTGCGGGAAATCAGAACAGAAACAGTTCTACGAGTCGACGGCATCACCTTCGGACACATTTGGAAGCAGGGAAGGTGAGACAGACAATGCTGATGGAGGTCCCGGGAGCTGACATACTCGAGCTCGGAGAAGCGGGCCAACGCTAAAGCCAAGGGCACAACTTGCGACGATCCAAACCTCCAGACACAGCACAAAGCAACGCCATCCACATGCGACCCCCACGACAGTCCCGTCTGTCCATCGGCTGAATCCTCCCCGTCGATAGCGCGATGGCTTTCCGCAAACTGGTCATCGGCTTCCGGTCGGGGAAATGAGGACAGCCCCGCACAGCTGGTGAGCACCACCCACCACTCTGTCCGCCGTCCCCACACTCCCGCGCAGGCTAGTAAAAGACAGTCAAGCTGTGACAAGGAGCGTGCCGGCGGGCAACAGCGTTACAATTGCTCATTCCATCACACGCACCACGAGACGCGTCTTTCCATTCTCGACAGCAGCTGCGTACGGCGTTTCTTTTCGCGAGCAAGGGTATCTGACATGTCACCGCCGGTGTCTCTGGTGGTGGCACATCCACATACTTCAATACGACTGGCCCCGATTGGCGTCATGAAGCATGATGTTGATGTAGATGCGTCATTCGCCAGCTTACCACTCTTTTGAGCTATCGCAAACAATCGCCTTTCGCCATGTATTGTCCTCTCGGTACTTACCCAATCGTGGACTCCAGTGCCTTTTACGACGTTGATCACATGGATCCTCACAACATTCATAGCATGCTGATTCGTAAGGAAGCCAATTCTGGAGATCATTCAGATCAGTAGCTAACTCCTCCAAGAACCACCGCCGCTTTCCAGAAGTGTCGAATCGAAAAATGAAGACGAAACCTCCGGTATTCAATGGAACGATGGTCCTAGCCATACACGGCCTCTCGTTCGAAGAGAGGATTCCACTAGCTGTGGGAATGAGCATCTCTCCCCATCCGCACACGAGATCATCACACCTCACATGTCCCCGAAGATGCCCGCCACGGCGCTTGCATCACTGTCTGTCACTCCTATTCCCTTTCCAGAACAGGTGAACTCCCCAGACGCTCCGCATTCTGGAAACAAATCCCACAACACTACCGACGGCAATATCTCTTCCTCGCAAGCCTCAGCTTCTCGCGCTGCGTCAGAAAACCCAAAGGACGCCACTAACGGCACTTCCTCTGACAACTCGGACACCGACTACGTCGACGAGAGCGCCATTGACGACGAGGATGATTCTTCCGACTGGGAAGACGCGATCGAAGATAGCAACAAGTCTAGCATTGACGAGAAGACCTTCTTTCAGCGCGTCGACTCCAAGGTCAACCTGATCTCGCGCGGCTCTCTCATTACCCTCATGATCGAACAGCAGAGAGAACGCGGCCGGGCTGGCAACGTTCCCTCTCAGTCTACTTCGGCACTGCCTTGGAATCGCACCAGCCACCCAGCCCCGCCTACCTTGGCTGTCTCTCCAAACGATTCCGACGATGCTCCTTTGATGATGAAGCGTGGCAACCGCTCGTCGCCTCCGAAGTCCATCGTCAAGGTGCCCCGGTCCGCGGCTCAGCCTATCCTCGCAAGACCCAGCGAAAGCTGTCCGTTGATCCCCACATCCCCCCGAACCACACGACGCAACATGCTCGCGACGGAGCTTACCGAGTCTCTCCGACGGAACCTGCTCTGGGAGCATCAACAAAAGTGCTCTACTGCCAACGCAGTCCTCAAGCGCCGTCATACCTCCCCCGACGTCACGAATCTGAATCAGAACTCCGAGAAGACCTACATGAACAACAATGAGGATCTTTCCATCGCTCCCCAGTACGTCTCCGAGTACTATTCCAAGGATTACCACTCAAAGGGCTGGTGATATACGTGGCCACGAGATGCCCGGAGCATTATTTGATACGCAGGGTCGCCCGGGGTTTCGTAGGTCATACACCGGCTCATAATGAGCTGCGGATCAGAATAGGCCGAGATGGATCCATGATGATACGATAAGAAAATATAGTAATATTTGTACATACAAGAAATGCAATTCGCACCTGTGTTTTCAAGCATGTGGCCCTGTGTTCGCAATCGCCAGACCCGAGAATCTTGTGCAGTCTACGACGTACCTGCTCCATCATGTCTTCCGCTAGACCGCACCCTTTTCAAGTCCCGCAACATCATCACAACATCCGGACTCAGCTTCCATGCTTAGCTGCTTATTGGAAACTACACTATGTTCTTCATATAGACTCGACCCCTGTTGCTGTGCCATAACACACCATAGACCCGGCAGCATGCGAGAAAGGCGTTTGCCGGCAGGGTGAGCCAAAAGACAGCCTTCACAACACAAACTCAGCAAAGGCTTCTATTGTTAGGGGAGACGTACCAGATACGAGGATATGACGTCCTCGAAAAGAGCAGCGAGGGGTGCCAGGACAAAGAGTCCGTGGCATACCAGCAGCGTGTAGCTGGTGACGAGGAACTGAGCGCCATTGTCCCGAGGCGACATCAACGCCGCGCGGAGAGAGCTTCTGAAAGACCATGCCGACCACAGACCACTGCTAGAAAGCGCAAGTGTCAAGGGTTGGAGAAGGAAGGACGGTGAGTGGTCCTGGTGATCGCGGACGTCACAACAAAAGCGAGCTCGCAGGTGAGATTTGCGGCGAAGAAGAGTCTCGTTTCAGGCGTGCGCCGTCTATGGCATTGCACAATTAACTGTGCTGTGTGGTCTAGACAAGAAGCAGGATATTCAGCTTCCTGCCATTCTTCGACCACCTAATAATCAATAGGATGCGTCACACACTCCGCAGGTCTTGAAGAACCTGCAAACAAAGCAAGATGCAGATGGGTCGGAGTTCCTGCACTTGCGTCAATGATTTCCAGCACTAACGTGGCTGGTTACCCAGGACACATTGTCTGCAAGGCGACCAGTGCACGCTGTGGCTTAGATGCTAAGTATGTACGTATAAGAAGATAACTTCCTCCGAGTCCCAGCTTCACAAGCCTTTTCAACTCATGCCACATTTACGACACAGATCTATACTTCAATGCCCATGGAGCCTGGTACATCTACTGACGACGATGTACGTTCCTCGTCGCAAGCCCTCCTCTGATCTGTTCAAATGTCCCAGACTAAGATGATGCAGATCCCAGACATGCCCCTCATGCAGGGCAACCTTCGAGAAGCGGCAGAAGCATATATCGCCCTTATGCAGATGTATTTGAATGGGCGTCCCAGCAAAGATAATTCCGACAATCAGGCCTCCGAGGTTAAGACTCAAGACAAGAAAATTATCTCGCAACTGGAGGAAGACATAGATAGATTCTGTAAGATCTGTGAGCCTGCCATGAAACAGCCAAAAGGCATCCGAAGTAGCGTCATGGAAGACTTCCTGCAAAGAGTTCTCCATGTGTTCGACCACGTTGGAGGCGATCAGAAGCCAGATTCTTCATTGGATCTCCTGCCGACCAGTACACCGCCAGAATAGAGATATACGTAAGGGGGCGGGCATCGACAAAGGCCTCGACATTCGAAAAGCGGTGTCAAAAGCGCCACAAGCGACCACAAGCGAGGTGACAGAGAAGAAGCCTCAGTAACCGTGGCATAAGCAGTGGTCACGGCGAAGATAAAGACGAGATCAGGGAATACTTAATTGACTTTCAGGTATTGGTTTCGTTCAATCATGGGTAGCGACATCACAAAGAAACGTTCTCGGCCGTATTCATAAGCTTGAGACTGGACATGGTAAAAGTTCATCGTTCACGTTTGCGGAAGGACTCTCAAGCTGTATGGAACGAATAAATGCCTGAGAATGACATGATGATTGCTGTATCATACTACTCAATGATTGTTGCTCTTTTATGGAAGTTGTGTACACCAGGCTTCTTCACTCCATGAACTCTTCCAGGAACCCCACAGGAGTTTGAATCATGGAATTCAGACCATTCCGAAAGTCATGGACATTTGTGATAGGAATTGGCTTGCTGCTGGCTTCCGGAGTCTCAGCCGTCTCGGCATGTCTGATGGACTCGTCCGTCTGAGCGTAAAGGTGGACCGAGAGCTTTGCTCCTTCTTGAGAGCCTGGCTTCATATGGCGGTCGTAAAACTCAATCATCTCCTCTTTGGTAATTGTTTTGACGATCGCGGCATCTTCAGCAGCTGCTGATAGATTAGTACCTTATTTAAGTTCAGACAAATACGTAAACTCACACCAGTTGAAGTCGTAGGATTCACTCCAGATCCGTTGGCAGTGCCAGTCACTCTCCTGTGTCAGGTCCAAGGGCTTTTCTAGGCGCTCCGCAATTAAACTTTGCTTGTGGTCCTTGAACGTGGCCTCGGGCATGGATTCTAGGGTTTTCGTGAACGAGTTCAGGAATTCTTCGATTCTCCCCCTGAGATATTCGGGTCTCTCCTTACTCTGGATGGTGAAGCACAAGCCGTAGGTGGTTGAGAAGCTTTGAACTCCACTCAAGACGACATAGCCCAGCTTCTCCTTGGTTCGGAGTTGGTCGAATGCCGGCTCCTTGGTCATCTGGTCGAGAAGCATTGTCTTTGCCCGCGTCATGCGGTCGCTCTTGTCACCAACGTATAGCCACACCTCGATGCAGTGGTTGACGTTTGCTGGATCCTTCAGCATCTTCTTGTAGACGTAGTTTGATCCGGCGGGTAGAATAAGAGATCGAATGACGGGCCACTGAGGGCGTGGCAATTCATGGGGCTTCAGGATTGTCTCAATCATATCAGCCAACTTGAGGGCGTCCTCTTTGTACAAGTTGCCGTGCACATAGCTTTCAATGTGCACTTGTGAAAGAATCTGCTTCTTGAACTGGCGGACGTCCTCAGCAGTGATGTTGGGTAGCTCAGCCAAAGACTCCTCAACAACGTAGTCACGCTCAGAGTTGAGCCAAGCCGTGTAGTTTGAAACCTGGTGGTAGGGCTGCTGAAGTTCCCAGTCATTGTATTCTCGGCTCAGGTCCTTTTTGATGATGTCGAACCTCTGATCCTTAATCTCGAGGTCGCGCATGGCGATGAGAACCTGCTCCAAGAGAACCGCCAGCTTGTCGTTGTATCCACTGAGGTCCAGTAACAAGCCGCGGGCATCGAGTGTAACACTGTACTGCAGACCAGCAAGCTCCGCATCATACGAGTAGGCTTCCAACGCATCCCTAACGAGGTCGGTAAACAGCCTAGCCTTGACAGCATTCTCAGCAGTCGAGTAGATGTTGGGGTTCCGGCAGCTGATGACAAGGTTCGCCTTGGGCACCCCGAATGTGTCATCTTTTTTGAACCACGTCCGAGCGATACTGCTGTTTCGGATGACACGCGGCGCTACTGCCGGCTCTTTGACCTCCTTCTTCTCGACCTCGAGCTTGGTGGGAATGAAGTTGTTCTTGTGGGGGAGGTGAAGCTCGGCAAGCCGGTCGGAGGCGGAACTCGAGGCAGCCTCCTTGATCTCCGCCATGAAGTCGTCGGGGATCTTCTCGTGGCGGTACTCGGTGCCGTACCACTTCTCCTTCTGATCCCAGTCGCCAGGGAACTTCTGCGACACGATGGTCAAACGGAAGTTATCAGGCCTCAAGCAAGCCAGTCCCTTATCAATCAGTTGAGAGTCGAACTTGCGCAGCCGGCTGTATCCACTGAGAAGCCACTCGCGCGGCAGAGGCTTCTGCATGACGGCACTAGTCTCGCTAGTGAAGCGGCTTGCTAGCGTCTTTTGTTTAAACTTGAAGTCAAAATCGGCCATGCCCTTCTGTTCATCAAAGATCCACTCTTGGGGCGGTGACTCCCGGAGAAGAGAGACGTATTGGAAGAGTATCTTGACGATCTCCTTGTAGTTCTTGAGACCCTGTGGTTTGCGTCAGTATGCGAGACTACCCTACGATTCATGGACTCTGAGCTCACCTCCTCGGTCAGGCTAATATGGCAGTCAAAGGTGCCAGGGGTGCCCGCGCAGACTAAGGATTCGAAGGCGTCCAACTTGGTGGCCCAACCCTTCTCCTTGAGACAGGCCATGATACTTCCAGGACCCTCGTGGCCGACCAGGTGTTTGATGTATCGGCTGGGCTGCGACTCGAACATTTTCTCCTCGTCGAGAAACGGGAAAAGGAGTTGCAGTTCGCGCAAGTCCATGACCGGCTTGGCGAACACCTGGATACCGAGGTCGCTCTCGCGGAAGGGTACCTCAGCCTCCCAGCGGTTCGGCATCAGGTTCTTGTTGGGGACTCCAGCAAATAATTCTACGACCCAGTCCTCCAAAACGTCCAAAGGCTCCCGTCCCAGAACCACCAACTTCATCCTGTTCGCCGAGTAGTGCTTCTCGTGGAACTCCATAAACTTGGCCCGAACATTGACGCCCTTGGCCTCTGGTTGGGTCTTGAGAACTTCGAGGTTACCGGTCGCAAAGTGGCAGAAGGGGTGCTTGGGGTTGGACAGGCTCTTCTCAAGCTGATAGAGTCGCCATTCGTCGCTCTGCAAGTTCTTCTTCTGCTCTGCGTCGACGGCGTGCAACTCTCGGTTCAGGGTCGATTCGAGGAAGAGAGGCTCGATGAAGAACTGGGCGAAGCGGTCGAGTGCACCCTTCAAGGGGGAAGGGTTCGAGGCAGAGGGTTCCATGTCGTTGGCAGGCTTTGCAGAAACATCAAAGTGGTAGTTGGTGGAGGTTGCTCCCGTGTACGCGTTTGAGTCTCCAGAGTGTAAGGCGAGGTACTGCGAGTATTCGTTTTCTACAGGGAACTTCTTGGTGCCCATGAAAAGAAGCTGCGCAGACAATTGTCAGCCAAGAGAAACGATCTTTTGTGCATATGGAATGTCGTACATGTTCCACGGCATGGGCCACCCCGGGCATATCCTCTTCGTCGCTGAAGTTTCCGACATTGACGTCGAGGGCGGCGCTGGCCTTGTCGGTCTCTGGATCGTGGACCAACAGGGCCTCAAGCTTGTTGGGCAAGAGAATGACACGGTAGGTTCTCTCGTCGGTCCAAGGCTTTTCGACCTTTTCCGTGACCAGTTCCACAGGTGCTGGCTTGGGCGCTGGCTTGGGCGCTGTCATGATGGACGTGAAGAGTCGCGATGGGAGAAGTGTTGGGAAACGTCGGTGTGCCAAGTTAGGATTGAGAACCAAGGGGCAATGGAAGTTCAGCTCGTGTTCTCTACAAATGACTGCCTATCAAGAAGGATTGGTCATTGTGCGGCGTTTTTCTTTTTTGCTCTGTCCATTCTTTTGGGATACTCCCAGGTGGAGGTGGGGGCCCTAGAAAATACGTACGACTAACGGAGGTCCTTGTGCTGCAACTTCGCTCATGAGAATGGATCCCAGCCACGGTTGCTCGCAAGCGCACCACAACTCCCCAGCTGCATGGTCGACTTGAGACGGAGCTTAGTATGCGGCGTCCGCTTGGCAAAAGCATCAAGCGATGCACCGCGGTGACTTCACGCACATACCTGTCTGGCTGGACCGCAGCATATGTGGACTCAGGATTCGTCGCAGTGGGCCATCGCATCCCACCAGCATATTGGTACGGATGACTGATCGCCGCGTCTGAGAGCGTGAGGTTCTAGACGAGGCGACCGCTCAGAGATGGGGTTCGTCCACGAGTGCCACCGGTTCAGGGCCTGCGTTTGGGTCTACTAAGAAGCGTGGTGGAGATCTGAGCATGGGTAGGCCCGCAAGGAGCGATTCCCAAGTACCTGAATGATCTCGTGGTGGGGTGTAATGTACTGCTTGCCCTCGCAGCTCCTCGACCAGGGTACCGGGCTGCAAAATTTGCCTTCTTTGCACCTTGTCACCGTCGACTCTGGCGTCTACCCTCGGAATGAGACGAATAGCACGAACAATAACAACCGAATTTTGGCGATAGAAACAACGGAGGCTCGGCCCATTACCGAAACGCTCCCCGAACTGACAAGGTGGGCCAATCGTCATGAGCGAAGGTTTGCAGCTGTTTGGAAGCCTCTGGAAGAGAAGGGTGTTCGCTTATGCCTCAGACATGCTGAGACGAAGGCGATTGTGTTGGAGATTCTGCTGGAAGGCCAGCGCTTAGTGACCCGTGGTGTACCGTCTGAGACTGGCTTTCGCGACGATCTGACTGCCTCAAGGGAACATGGTCGAGACAAAGATGCTCATCAATCAAGCCGCTGTAGTGTGGCGGGTACTGAAAAGATTTGATCAATCATTCTTCTAATATCTGCTTCGCAGCAGTGCTGTGTTACGAGCGGGTCAGGGCAACCAACTGTGGCACAAAGCAAAAGCTTCGGTAATGATACCTCTGGTATCATTATCCCCTGTTCTGCAATATATAGCTACGCGCCTACAGGGACCAACTGCAGCGGGCGTAACATGCAGCCCATACTCAAGTTCCAGCTAGATCTTGTCACCATGCATAGTAGTGAGATTGCCTATGTCCCAAAGTCAGTCATTAAGGTCAGATCGCTGGGTGTGCCTGTCTTATCGGTATACTGCGTTACCTTTACACTTGGATGGCTGTGATGCCGAGCTCATCCGGGGAGAGAACATCGGGTGACGACTCCCTTGGCTGCTGTGCCACGATGCAATTTTCCAGATCCCTAATGCGACTCTCCAGATACTTGATGCAATTTTCCAAATGATTTATGCGATTTTCCAGAGCACAAACCCTTTCATAAAGACTGAAGCACTTGGTGCACGAAGGACCCGTCTTCCTTTTTTTTGCTGCATTTTCTTGCTCCTTCTGTGAGTTAGCCCTAACTGCATTCCAAAAGGCAACCGAGGAGATGCTACCTTCTCTACCTCGCCCGCCGGGCGAGGGCGCTTTCCCATCTTGCGAGGTAGCTTCTAAGTGAGAATTCTCTTTCGTGGATATAAGTCAAGGGAAGATCAAGGACAGCCATCTGCTTTTTTGACACTCGCGTTGAGGGTCGTATCGGTGTTAACTCGCTCCTGTAAGGATCTCCGACTTAGCAGAACCTTCTCAGCAGTGTTTGCAGGGTGCACTTTACAGGCAGCAGCGCGTCCAGCCTGAACATTTATGCGCCCGATGCTTGGTCGGGCGCTTGCCGCGGCTTGCACCAACGAAAGCTTCTAGCCACTGCTCCAGACGAGTAGATTGTGGGGGCAGTTTGGATCATCTATTCGGTGCACCTTGCCAGTATCATGGGCCCCTGCACAAAGTGCCTTGCCACATGGCTCAATCGGGCTTCGCACCTTGCGCTGCCTCGTCGGTATATCTGGTGGCAGTGCAGCCTCCAGAGGTGCCCTCTTGCCCTGCTCTCTGGCGAACACCGTCTGCGCCCCATCAACTGTGAGGTCGATGCAGGCTTCCTTGTCACCTACTTCATCGGCTTATAAAGCATTGAGCGCCAGCCATCATTTATTTCAAAAGCTTTCAGAGCACCGCTGCATCATATCGACAGCATGAAGTCCGCATCGAAACTGTTGCGTAAGCTCATACACCCTTCAGAAGGTGGCAACAACGGAAAACGCAGCGACGGCGAGAATGACAAGCCCGACGATGTTGCAAACGCTAGCGAAGGTGAGTTTACGTCATATTTTCAAGTATAAGCGTCAATACTCATGGCTGAACAGGCGTTGAAGACCCTCCGCCTGCCTACAACTTTCGTGACTTCCAACCTGAGTCTTCGTCATCCTCGAAGCACCAAGGCTTGGTTGCCTCGACCCCCGAGGATCCTTATGCGTTTTTGTCATTCTTTGACACCATCTTTCTTATCGATGACTCAAGCTCGATGAAAGGTGCTTCGTGGCATGAGGTGCGGCTCGCCCTCAAAGCAATCGTCCCGAAATGCGTTGCTCATGACGCCGACGGCATCGATCTCTACTTTCTGAATTACCAAACAAAAGACGAAGGAAACGCCGACCAAGGAAAGGCCTCTGGAGGCTTCCGCAACATCAAGATGAGCGAAAATGTTGGGAAGACTTTTAGCACAGTTGGTCCCACAGGCGCCACATTTACCGGCCAACGCCTGCATCACATCCTCAAGCCTTACCTCGAGTTGCTAGAACAGAACAAAGACGATATAGACACCGTCAAAGCTCTGAACATCATCGTCATCACTGACGGGGCCGCTAACGATGATGTAGAGGCCCCTATTATCACTGCGGCCAAGACGCTTGACAAGCTCGGTGCCCCTATGCACCAGCTTGGTATACAATTCTTCCAGGTCGGCAATGATTGCGGAGCCAGAGAAGCCCTCCGTGAGCTGGATGATAGTCTTGGTCAAGACCTTCGCGACATTGTTGACACCGTTACATGGAACGAAGGACAGCCTGGCAAGCTTACTGCAGACCACATTCTCAAAGTCCTTCTTGGAGCAGTGGTGAAGCGGCTTGACCGTAAACCAGCAAGAGGTCGGGGCAGTAAATGAGGCCGAGTGTATCAAGCGCTCCGTGCCCAACATCTCATCTTGGATGTGCGGAAAGGATTACGGACGTGTCGTATGTAGTTTATCAACAAGATCGGGGTTTCGGACCACGCAAAGGAGCATTTGTTTGTCAATTGGTACCATAGTGTACCCCTCACCGCGTGACCAGAAGCAATGGAGACATCCTGGCAGCTTCACCGCGTAAACGATTGGTGTCTTCTATCTTTGAGGAGTCTTGGGCGCGGCGCAGTACCGAAAAGCACCGACTTCTTTTTATCGTGAAACAATGGAAACATTGGGGAAGCATTCAAAGGGCTCCGTTGCTCAACACCCATTGCCGGAAGTTCGCTGAGATGGGTCAACCCCGGTAGACTAGCAAAGGCCAAACGCTTCGTCGATGAAGCATTGGCGCTAGACAGGCAGCTGAGACATATGGCTTGAGAGAATCGCGTCAGCAAATAATCATGACACCTCGTCTTTCAATAGCCCGTAATCATACTGTGAAGTTTCATGGTCCATCTTACGAGTGCGAGCATCCAAAGATATTGATTTCAAAATACTACAGCCCGTTCGTTGTCCTTATAATAGCCATGACTATTGATCTACAAGCGTGAATCGTGTGGCACATCTACCAACGAGCATCTGAAGAGACAACCAATTGCCCATGGCCGAAAGCCTTTCGGCTTTGACTCCCTAGATCAGCAGCTGTTCCCCTTTGGAGACCGCAGAATAAGCCTGAATTTTGAGGGTCCTTCAGCATATCTCTTCGCTGTTCACCGAGAGTCCTTCCCAGTTCATGGCAAGACTCTGGTACTTGCGCAGCTATTCGTGTGTCGGCTTCAGGCAGCCTATGCGGAGGATCATTGTCTAGGATGAACGGTCAGGTCCACTTGCTTATGGTTCGATCAATCCGAAAAGTTTTAAATCAGCTTACCTCGAGGCACGTTCGCTCTTGCTTTTTGAGAATGCAACCTGCAAAGCACGTGGGGCCCTGAATCGTCTCTGTGAGAAAGCATGAAAGTTCTTCAGATGCTTCCAGAAACTGCACCAATTGCGGAACTCTTTCATGCGCATATAGTATTGATCATATGTTGCTTCCTCTTGGCAACACACTTCATCTTTCTGAACTTGACCCACACAGGCTGATCTTACTGTGTACATACTACCATGATTGACAGTGGGAGAATGGCAGCTGTTGAAGCCGGTTATGGATACTTTCAAGTAGCTCTTGATTACGTGCTGTTACTCGCACTGTCGCTGACCATCCCGACCCCACATTTTGCTTGCAAACAAGTCGCCACAGCCATTACCAGAGGTTTACAGGGGTCCATCACAGCAACTTTCAGCTTCTCAAACATTGACGATGTTTGCAAGAGAGGAAGTGACATATGCACAATACTGTACTTTCGCATTTCCCCAACTTGTACTCAACTTCAAGGTGCTGAAGAAGTAGCTTCAAGTTCTTCACATCGTTCAACTCCAATCCATTGATTTTCGGATGAGCTTGGTGCACAGGACGCTCATAGCAAAGGCAGTAGCATTGCGTGTCACTATCGTGGGTCGCAAATAGGCTGCTCCAGCCGAACGGAAGGAGGCAGATCCATGTTGTCCGCAGCCTCGGATTGTCCTTTCTATGATAATCGATTTAGTCTTGTATGACGCCTGGCTGACTGGCGCTCGAGCAGTCTACAAAGTGAAAAGATGACCCTCTGAATTCTTCACCGCGGGTCGTAAGCTCACCAAAGTTCGCTTCAGGTGCGAGATACTCCAAGACACCGTCTTCCTCATTTGGTAAGATAGGGTCCGTCTCTGCGTCTCGTGTTATCGAAAAACACTGTGAGGCGGTATCCGCCATCAAAAGGGGGTCGATGGGGATTTCTGTGATGACCTTAGGCTGATTCTCGGAGAACAGCGGCACAACCGGAGCGTGGGTAACTGAGATATTGGTGGTTGTTGAAAGTAGCTGCTTGTCCGAGAGGATAGACGAAGTCGTTCCGGGAGATGCGTGACTGGAATATGGGAAGTGATGGAAATTACGCTGAGACTTGTGAACTTCCATTGTCGAAATGTTGAACAGACTTGTCTTCTGCCTGAGGTTGGTGAGTTCTTCGTCCTCGCTGGGCGGCCTAGGATTCGATGCCCAGAACCGGGCGTCGTAGTATTGAACGAGACGCATGCGACTGCCATCGGGCATTTTCATGTAGCAGGCTTGCCTGGTGAGCATGCCTGGCCTGGAAGCTCCCTCGGTTCCGCCATGTTCAAGAGTTTCGCTTCCTGATGCCTGCGGCTGTCTGTTGTCATTGACACGCTGCTGATAGGTTGTGAAGACTCCATCATCTCTGCCCGGTCCCCAGCTCATGCCATCGCGCCATCTTTGTATCCCTACTTGGTTTGGGTCCCATACGAAAACGTGACCAGGACGAATCAACTCATAGTCACTTTTCACCGGCCTCTTTAGTAGCGGAGTCAACAGCCCCTTATTGCAGGCCTCAAAGAGGATTGTGACGTCTTCGAGGGTTCGAGCAAGTCCTTCATACGTTGGCTGAAGCATCATAAGGCGCACTGGAGTCAGGAGCAAGGAGGATGAGAAATTGTTGCGAGTTCTGAGTACATTGAACGAACAGGGTTGACAATCACTCACAATCAGAACAGGTCAGCTGAACAGGTCCTTTTTGTACGAATGGTCTATGGGGGCTGATACGTTGCTTTCAGGGCCTTGACATAGGTTCTCGCGCCACGCAGCCTTGCTCTTGGATATGTGCAAAGACTGGCCTCTGTGCTTTTTCTTCCACGAAAACGTTGACCACTGCGCTTGTACCAAGTTCAAACGCCGCGCAGATCTGACAGCCGCGTTCAAGTATGGGGCTTTTCTGAAAACTAATGATTAAGGGGCCGAACAGTGTTTTGACCCTGGTTCTTCTTGTCGGGAGTCTTTGTAGTGCTCGACAGAACACAGGTTTTCGAGCAGGCTGCGTACCCTGCCCCCTTGTCAGTAAGGTTGAGCGTGATCAGGTTGTCAGGCATATCGATTGGGACGTCCGCGATTGGCCATCTTCCGTCTGTGTTGAAGCATCTCATTTCGAGCAGACCCTAGACGTGCATTTGCTACAGATGTTCAAACAGCCCGCCTCGCTCCGAATCGTCGACCGATGAACAACCTGGAAGCCTGCTCATCTCTTACTATGACGGTGAGAAAGTGCCAAAGGCTCGACAGGGCAGCCCCTACTAACCCCACAGATCGTCTGAAGGTGAAGGAAACAACCTCTTGGCGGCTACACGTAGTACACCTTCCTGGTCCGCCGCGGGTGACTGTCTGCACCCAGCAAGGGCCCAGCTGGCCCTGGGCAACAGGCAGTGGTCTGTGCCGCCGAGAATGGCGTTCTATGATACACACACACACACACACCAAGCAACAGAGCACTTTTGATCGCCAATAGTTTGCGGCACAAGGTTTGAATGGACAGAGGAGCGGAGACTTGTTGTTGACGACCCCTGGTAAGGCCAAATAAGCTCCCAGTCCGGCCCACGCCATCGTGCATAGACCGAGGGGATGGCCGGCGTTCCCTGCCCGTCCCGCATTTCATCTCAATCCAGCGGGACCTCCGTCAGTGGTTAAGCGCTGGTCAGAGCTTCGGGGGTGCATGCCGCAACAAGTGGCTCCACAGACGGTGGTACTGGGTAGGCCTGTTCGGACCCTTGTCCGGAGCCTGCATTGATGCTCGCCTGGAGCACCAACAGCAGAAAACAGATCTCACACCTCCCCTGTCATCCACAGGCGGGGCACCTTGCAGGGCGACTCGTACGGTGGCACCATGCGGGCCCGCTCGTACCTTACTTCCTGGAAGAACACTTTCGTGCGTACCCAGCCCCATCGAAGAGGTCCCTGACGGAGCGAGCTAGGGTGTGTGAGACTCTCGCGACGGGGGACAGGTCACTTTGCTGATCTCGAGGTGGGTGGGGCTCGGCCGAGTAATCATCCTTGCACACCGGTGCTCTTCCAGAGGATCGCAAACTGGCTCCGTGGCTACCGCAACCAAGGCCGCCGTGGCGCGGAGCGCAGCCAACAGCCGTTCTGGCGTGCGAGACGCTTTAGGACGTTCAAATGGCTCGGCGCAGTGGCCCAATCGAGGGCCGGGCTCGTACAAGCTCCCCAGCGCCCCGCAGCCAGCCGAGTGACCGTTGCCAACGCCAGTCCCGGCTTTCGTCTGGTTTTTGCGTCGCCCTCGCATGGGACACCTACGTGAGTCTGCACCCGTTGGCTATCCCCCGCATGACATGTTGTATGAATGACGAGAGCCCCTCGGCGTGGTGCTGTACGTCGTCTCCGTCGGGCTCCTCTGACGGCCCCGGATGAGGCTCGCAGTGGCAGTTAACAACGCTGGTCATGACTCAGGGCAGCCCTCCACTGGCTTCCGCGCCAGTACCTATCCTTGAAGCAGGCATTTCTCGAACCACTTTGCTGCTTGGCACTAGGCTCGACTCGCTTTTGCACTCATGGCCGAGGAGAAATGGTGTATTCAGTCGCGCCGGACAAGGATCCAGCCCGCCTTCAAGCGGCAATGAACAACACAAGCCCAACCATAAAACCCACCAGGAACACAGGCCAACACCGCCGGATTATCATATACATCTCGAGGTAGATACAATTGGCAAAGGTGGCCATCACGAACCAATCTCTGTCGCTTCGGGACCAGGTAATGTCGTGCCTGGAACATAGTTAGCCGCGGCAGTCATTTCGTCCCTCAATCCTCACCATTTCCATATACAACAAAGAATTCGGACCGCTCGTGGCAGCAGCCGACTGCATTCAGTGTACGCGCCATTGTGAAAGGCGTAGAGGGCCACCAGGAAATATATTTGAGCATCTTCAAGAGTATTTCCACGCTCCCGATCGACCATGATGTCAATGGCCAGCCTCATATAGCTGATTTCGGGTTGGGATGCGAAGTTTGGCGCCGGACCGATCCCTGTCCAGGTCACTTGCTCCTGTTGGCAAGGTTGGCCAAGGCCCATGATAACCAATGCAAAGGCGTCTCTCCTGGAGGGGCAAGACGTCTTGGGATCGATCCATCTCCGAGTGAACGCAGATACGAGATCTTCCGGGCGTGAACAAGGCAGGCATCGGTATTTGCGGAGTATCTGTGTCGGACTGGTGGCCTCCGAGCGGTTCGCAGTCACTTTGATGTCTTTCGCTGCCAATCTGAGTTTGCTACCAAGGTCGTTCGAGTTGAGATGGGTGAAATGAGGAAAGAGAGCTGAACCAGTGTTCAACCAAGACGAATCAGGCTCTTGGTGTCTCGACGGCCTGCATCCGTCAGCACACAAGCCAGTCTTGCTGGAACTCATGTCCAGTAGTGTCTACACGCGCTGCGTCAGCATCACGTCCGGTCACGATGGCTCTTGCGCATCGCTCCCATGTTCAAAGGCAAAAGCCTGGTGGGTGAATTGACTCACGGTGAAGGTGGATGGTTTACGCCGCCTGTGTATGGCGAGAGACGCAGCAGCAGAGAGGGTGCGTTGGGGGCCCAAGATCATCTGTGGACTGGGGACAGCTACGATTTGATAGGGGACTTTATAAGCGGGGTCTCCTTCGCCCCAGCGGGAGATAATACACGTGACTCTTCATCACATGAGCAGCCTTTCTTCTCCCATCTTGGCCAATTCTTGCAGTTGTTTACCGCATATCGTTTCCCTGCTGTGGCGGTTTCGCGGACCAGAAGTATGCCACAGCACGCCACATAGGCCTGGACTGCAGCGAACTTACGATTCCAGTTTTGTTTAACTGCGTTTCTCATCAACTGCCAGCCCGAGTTCTGTGCGGAAGCTGGGAGCCCATGCTCCGGGGGGTGCCAACGCGACATCCGTCGGCTCAAGGTACGCTTGCCGTGTTGGGCTATCCAGAGACTTTCACAAAATACGTAGTTCCCGCGCAACAAAGTGATTTCCGTCGCTCCCCCGGATCCAAAGCGCTGATCTTATGCATAGAAGCATGGTTTGAAAGAAGGTTCCATCCACGAGAACCCAATGCTTCGGCGGGGGACGAAACCAATATGTGCTTGGGCCACAGGCTATTTCTAGCAGCCCGCTGTATTAGCATCGCCCCAGAAAAGAGGGGAATGGTTGTTACGTCTACCTACGCAAAAGTCCCTGCGGAGTCTTCCCGAATCCCGCCATCAACGAGAAATAGGACACCTCGCCACGCCCCGATGTGGAATCAGGTAGCGCAAAACGACGTGGAAATACGATGCCATTCTCCTCTAACCATACCGACAGGCAGTTGACCCTGGGCCAGAGAGCTTTGAGCGAGCCGGGATAGGGGACACCTGGAGTTCTGCTGGCCATCATACGGTTTTCACTGATGGTCAGAGCTCATGGGCGGTCTCGCGGACGTTCAGGATCGCGCCAGCTCTCACGCTGTTGAATCGTAGCTGCGCGATGCACCTAACTGTATTCGGTTCTGCCCCGATCAACGGGTAAGTTGGTCCAGAGGAACTAACCAGAGGAGGTTCTACCTCACGAATTTCCTTTGGATGGGGCGTGCAACATCGCCAAACAACGGGATCTGTTGTTCATGCTTCGGCTACAGCCAGAGCAGTAATATTGCGGCCGAATCGTCGTCGGAAACTCACTGCAGAACTTGCACATTGATTCCTTTCAGCTGCTCCCTCGTACAAGCAGCATTGAGAGCCCCGGTCAGGCATTTGATTAACGTCTCAAACCCGACTGCAACGTGAGATGGGCTAGGCGTGGCGCCAATCTGCGTTGCCTTCAGGGATTGAAAGTCCAACGCATTATAAGAGGGGGACAATTCCTCGGCGTTCTTTTCTGGGGCCCTGATCGATATCGCAAACCATCACCTTAGTCGTCTGTTGTTCCCCGACCATCATGAACGACCTCAACATGCATCCAACGATCACAGCGACACCACCGCCAGGCAACTTGGTCGACCTACACTATTGCGTTTTCGGTATTGGTTCTGGCGTTGCAACACTGCTTTGCTTCTTGCGGCTGTGCAGCAGGCACCATCTCCGCACGCTGGGGAGAGATGACTGTGAGTTAACTATCACGTTTCACGAGGACATTGGGCGGAAACTGCATCCACGACTGGGCTAATACACTACCAGTGTGGCTGGTCTTTTCCTGGGTAAGTTTGGGATCAAGAATCACTTGAACTTCGCCTGAAACTGACATTAAGTCTCAGCTTTTTTCAACCGCAATGCAGCTTTTGATGATAGGTAGAAATCTCCCATGGTATGACACCAAACATGCTTACGAGGTCGGCAAAGTCGCCATACAGATGAAAACAATGTGCTACCACAGCAAAGATATACCCGGCGACCGCTTTCAAGTTTATGCCGAGGTGCGCACCTCGTCATTTGAAAGATGAAGAGCCATGACTGACACTCCCTTTAGCTTAGTTATAACGCGGCGCCGGCATTTATGATGTCCATTGGTTGTGCGAAAATGTCTATCCTATGCTTTTATTTGCGCATCTTCCCCAGCCCGTACTTCAAGGCCATAGCCAGGGTCACTCAGGGCCTTGTGGTGATGGTCACGTTCCCTATCACCTTGTTGCTATACCTCTCTCGCTTTGAACACCTGGGTCTCGACGATGTGGCTCTCTTCCTAGCAACAGCTGGAGCAAACGTCGCCATGGATGCTGTGTTGCTCGCTCTGCCAATACCGACGGTTTTCGCCCTCCAAATGAGTTGGAAGAAGAAGTCTGTCGTTACATGTTTCTTCAGCCTGGGATTGATGTACGTTAGCCATCCAGAGTGTTCGTAGCAGGAGCTAATACGGCTTTCAGAACAATGGGCACCTCCATCCTTAGACTGTACCTCCTCAATGGGATACTGGGTAGCTCTGATCTCACATGGGACGCCGCGCCCGCGAACATTACCTCGTAAGCCACCCTAGATCACGGGAATAACATTCATTGACGAACGACAGATTTCTCGAGGTGAATTTTCATCTGATTTGTGCCTGTATGCCTGCGGTATACAAGTTCGTCAAGGAACTCAAATGCTTCAAGGCCGTTTCCCCCAACCCGACCTACCAAAGTCACGTCTCGGGCACCCGGCAGCAGCCCTTGGAAAGCTCCAGTCAAATCCGACTGCGCGAGCTCCCGGGTGGCTCCGACGTGGAATCAGGAAGGGCTCTGTCGCGAGGCAAATCGAGCGGTGCGGCTAGTGTTTGGGGTTCAGGAGGAGTGGATGATCCGGAGCGACCTCCTGACCAGGACTGGCATTCAAGATAGCGGCTCGATCCTCCTTGCCTGCTCGCAGACGGGCCCCTTGCTGTCTTCGGCCGATGTATAACGGCTGATTGCCAGCCTGCCATTCATTTCCTTACGCCCACCGAGGTGGTGGAGTAGCATAGCAACGTGAATAAGGGCTGGCTGCCTGGCACACAGGTAGACAGTGCCGGCTGGGATCGGGTGGACGGCAACAACCACAACTCAGTCTTGGCAATCGTGAATATACTGAGCTGCCCCTTTGGATGATTTGTCCGTCAATGTTTTGCGTAAACCAGTGCGTAAACCAGTCTCAATCCTGGCCGATTTGACAAACCTCAACAACGCGTCAACCATGCGAAGCTAAAGCCATGCAGGCATGGCCAAAAAAGCCAGGGCCGGAACCCCCAGAGGCGACGGCGTCAAGGCCTGTAGTGACCTCGCTGACCCCGATGAGGGTTGCTCCGCGTCTCCACTTTCCCTCCACTTTACTGCCAGGACGCTTGCTGTTGGCACTGACATGTATTCTACAACTTTCGGGGGTTTGTCCTCTGGGACCCTCGGAGGGGCTTCGTGTCCATAGATGGGCACATTCTCTGGCCCATTCGTGGCTATAAAGGCTCGCCAATGTTCCCTTTTTATTCATCCTTACCATCGCGAACAATCACACCCTCCATCTTGATATCTTTGTCGCAAAAACGAACGCGTTGTTGCTCGCGCTCGCATCTGGTTTGGTGTTTGGAGTTGTCGGTGCAACGACTACAATAAGCGCCCCGCGCCAGTGTGTACGTCGTCATCACTCAGGGGCATCCCTCTCATACTGACATCGTGTTGGAAGTGTGCTGCTCTTTTGAGTCAGAACAGCCTTGCGGAGAGAGTTCTCACCCCGCGTGATGATGGATTTCAGGCTCGACTGGATTCCTACTACTCCGCCAATGCCGCTAATCCACCTCGTTGCATGGTGTTGCCTCAGAGCACAAAGGACGTTGCCACAACTATCCAGGGTTTATCTGAACTTGGGTGTGCATTCGGCATGAGAAGTGGAGCTCATTCTGCCTTCGCTGGGTCCAACGGTCTTGAGGGCGGCGTTACAATTGATTTCGGTAAGTCAACTGCTTTCAATGCTCTGGCATTTCTAATGCGAGCCAGGATACATGAATTCAACCGTGTATGACCCATCCACTGGGATTGCTTCCATTGAGCCCGGGTCCAATTGGGGAGATGTCTACTCTGCTCTGGATCGATTCGGCGTTACTGCTGTGGGGGGCCGGGCGTCTGTCGTCGGTGTTGGGGGTTTTACCACGGGCGGTGGTGTAAGTCGGTCACGAACGACCTCCCAACTTCTCTAGAGACTAACTCTCGGCAGTACTCTTTTCATACCGGTAACAGAGGGTTTGCCTGTGACAATGTCGTCAACGTCGAAGTCGTGCTTGCCAATGGTACCATTGTGAACGCGAACAGGCACGAAAATGCGAATCTCTTGAGGGCTCTAAAAGGGGGCTCTGGAAACTTCGGATTAGTGACAAACATCTCCACTAGTGAGTGCCCTGTTACCTCGCTCGCCAACGATTGCGTCATATCCAACCATCTGACCTCTTTTCTCAGGGGCCGTTCCATCAAACAAGATTTGGGGCGGTATCACGACGTATGCCTTGAACAATACAGATAAGGTAGTCGATGCGTATACGAAGTTTGTCAACAAAATGGATGACGACCCGGCCAGTCAAGCCATAGTAACCCTTCTCTATGGAAAGGAAGGGTTCAGCCTTGTCTCGGTGCTGACCAACAGCAACGCCAAAAGCACCGCCCCGGCTTTCAACGAATTTGTCAAAATTACAAACATTTCGAGCACAGCTCGCGTTGGATCCGTAGCCGAAATGGTTCCGGAGTTCACCGGTCCGACTCCCCTCGGTCTATAGTACGTCTCTTGTGAAGCGTTGAGGAAGGTTCATGACTGACCACAACACAGTGCGAACTGGATGACCGGCACCGCCTTGCATGATCAACAACTGATGTATTTCATTCTCCGCACAGTCAAGAAATACATCAATCTGATGCGACTCGCCGCGCCATCTTCGAACTTCGAGCTGCTCACTCAGTTCCAGCCGGTAACACGGTCAATGGTGGCTCGTGGCGCCGAACAAGGTGGCAACGTACTTGGCCTGGAGCGGGTGGTCGCGGACGGTCCGGCTCTCATGTGGCTGCTTGCTCTGACAGTGGACACCGCAGAGAACCAGGGGCGAATTTTACCTTTGTTACTCCAATTGAAACGTGATATCAACCGGTACGCTAATGACAAAGGGACTTCAAGGCACTGGGAGTTTTTGAACTACAGCGGCCTGGGACAGAATCCCATCTTGGATTATGGGAAAGTTGAGGTCGATTTTATGAGAAGTGTTTCACGGGAATACGACCCACAAGGTGTTTTCCAGCGTTTGCGAAAGACTGGTTTCCATATTCCCGTGTAGAACACACTCATAGCCAAGAGGCCTGAAGGTGGAACAGGGTATTAATTCGCCGGTTCTGTTCGCGGTAGGAGACCATTACGAGGCGGTAGGCGGATCTCTTTTCACCTAGCTCTGGATAGCAGCGAAATGACGTTCCGAGTCATGTCTCTCAATTCATATATTTCGGGCAGTCATATGAATGGCATCCGCAGAACTGAAGAGATTTGCCTCCTGTCGTATAGACTCGGCTTCGAATGCCCAATGTGGCCTGTGCAGCGCTCTAGGGGGTTTGCGCTCCAGGGTCTAGGCCCACCATGCTCTTTATATGGTCTCATGTTGGGGTGTAGCCCTCAAGGCCTACTGTAGTATCTCTTGAGCCCCGAGACATGTCCCTTTTAGTTCCCGCCAGGGGGGCCCAACCAGAAAGTGCCCTCGGTACCCATAATACAAAGCCACCAACAGAGGGCCAGTAGGGAAGTAATGAGGGCCTCACGAGGGCTCGTAATCCCTCCGTAAGCGGTCTTCAGAGGGCTCTCTAGAGGCCCTCAGAGACCCTCGAGCAAGCCAGAGGCCAGCGTTCCCGCCCCTTATCATATTACCTATTCCACGGCTACCTCTGTGGGACGTCGAGGTCGCTAAAAGGCACATGTCTCGGGGCTCAAGGAGATGGAAATAAGAAGGCTTCCAGTGTAGAATGATGGTTTTTGCGATTCTCATGACAAAAGCCTCCAGAATCAAACTTGGTCAGGGATGGCCAACGGTCCTCAAGAGGGTTTTGACACACCAAAGCAGGATTATGGGCGGGATGATGCGCGCAATCGCGCAGAAATGGACGACCACCACTGTTTAGGACTTGTTCTCCCAAGATGAAACCAGCGGACTCATTCTGGCACATGGCTTTTACTGCCGTGACCGCGCGGGAAAATGCACACTTTGCTCCGCAACATACTTGTTTTTGAACACAAACATTCCCCTAAAGAGTCTATCTCGTTCCCAATTTGCCTGTTTTCGGGGGTAAGGCAGCCAACACAACGAACATCTCAGCCCATCTGCGCGAAAGGCATCACTCTCTGTGGCCTCCGAGGTACAGGCAACAGGTCTCTGCGCCGTTGCTGGCATTCGCAATACTACGTCCGATGACTGCTTTACTGTATTCAGGCTGCATGTGGCATCCCTTGGCAAGAGCAGTGGTGCCACGGGGATCCATAGCGAGAAGTCAGCATGGAGAGAACAATAACCTGGCTGTGATGGCTCTGGAGCAACACCACTGGACTGGTGGCACTGGCTAGCTGCTCCGAGTCGATGATCGCAGCGCTCTGCAGCCCCTGATCGGCCAACGTCCGCCTACCCAGGCCAGCGGACTGCCAGTCTGCACGCGTAGACCACCCCTTGAGCTCCCCCTGACGCTGCAATTACCCCTCCCAGACATCCGCCAGCCTGTCCCAGCAGCGTCGGTCCCAGCCCATGAGGAGGCACGTCGCCACCATTCGATGACCACCAGCCCCGCGAGAGCCCCTTTCCGAACGCCCCAGAGCGCCCGCGTCTCTCCCATCGACAGGTACGAGCTGCTCGTAGACTGACTCGGCACGAGAGGCGACCCCAGCCAGGCCTGGCGCCGGGTTACGCGGAACGCTGCCAATCCTGGTCCTGGAAGGTGTGCCGACGGCGATCGAGGAGGCCCATTGGTCACGATACGCTGGGGGTGTCAGTGGCCTTGGGTCGGCCGCCCCTTTGCCGACATGCTGTGCCGATGCAGAGCTGCAGTTGCCGATGGAAGGGCTTCAAGCACAGCAGACCCCGCCAACGCCGGCCACAGCAGCGGACGAGCGTCTAGATGCCACCAGAAGACCTCCACAGGGCCGGCGCACACTCATCCGGGGCGGACATTCTTCCCATCAGGAGGACTAGCATCCTGGAAAGATAACTTGTTATATTTAATTGACTATCATTATCAAAGAACTCCGGTAGGTCTCACACTCCGCAGGCATCATGTTACAGCCCTGACGAACGTACTTAATAATATGTACGAGATGCCGCAGCGTGATAGACCCAGTACCCCAACCAGAACACTACACCCTGTTTCCGTGACCCCTGAGCGCCAGCCGTCAATACGTTCGCCCGCGTGCCTCACCCTGATGGCACCAAGATTCACCGACTGGCAGCGCCAGCAAAATGGCAACCCAGAAACCAAGTCCATCCTGTGCGACGAAGCCCTTGATTTGC